TCAGGGGATTATATTGACATGTGTATCATCTCAGCAGGCACTGAAACTTAAAACCATAACACCAGCTGACCTACCTACATGGATGGATGCTACTACACTGGCACCATTAGTGTCCAAATATTATCTGCAGTGGAAATTAATACTATATGTGGGTTTACTCTACCCAGATGCTATTCTGTCACTGTGCAGATTTTAAAATTCTGCGTGTCACTCACGCCCCTGTAAATGTCATTCAGGCCCACTGTGAGTAAAAGGGGGAAAAATGCCTGTGTGTGCTGCTGCTGGATGTGGGGCCACTGTCAGAAACAATGTGCAGACACTGGGGGCTCACTGCCCTGTTGCACACCAGGCCTGCAGCCATGTAAATGAGATCGCTTTTGTTAGCAACTGGCTGCTGGTTAAGTACTCAGCATGGGGAACAATGTTGGCCGTACGACTGCAGTATGTGTGTGTGTGTGTACAAGCAAATATGCCAGTGCACACACAGCTATTAACAGGTTCAGAATTACAACTACTACAAAATGACAATGAGACAAAATTCAACAAACAGCTAACTCCACACAGCCCTGAGGCTGTACAAAAGACAACAGTAGTTGTCAGTGTGCACAATTGTGTATGCTATACCCTTCTTCAACGACTGCTGCATCCAAAGCTTTATTAACATTGCATAAGACAACCTGACACTTTGGAGGAATATTTAACCAAGGACAAACAGGGCAGAGTAAGTTTTCTGCCCAAAATTGATCTGGTTGCGGGCTGTAATGAGTCCTGGGTAAATGTGTTGATACCCATGATACAAAACTTATTTTTGAATACCTTACACTGAGAAATATAAACATGCTTTCTACAGGGGAGCCAAATCTTTTTGTACAAGCCAAACAAGAACTTTGCCTTCATTAAGCAGTCTAAAATCTGATACATTATTATTTAAATCAGAAGCTATTTGATGAGAGAATAAGTAGAGTACTTCTATGGAACTACTGCTACTGCTACAGATAAATTCACACGTACCAGAAGACTACAGAGATTTGTGATAACTGAGCTCCAAGTTCTGCAGGAGTCCTGGTTGACACATCCTGACTGCCAATCAACAGTTTGATAATTTCCTGTTTGCTTTTTCATCTACTTTGCTGCTACTTATTATAGATAAGTAAAAGATTGTGCAAACTGTGTGTTTGTGTCTGATATGTGTTGACCACTAAATATTGTGCAACAGTAACAGTAAGTCATAACTGCATATTGTTTACCGTCAAATATAACCCCAGGTGGTTCATAAGTAGGCTTCTATACTGTTATGAAAGTCAGAGGCGAGAAGGGAAATGTTCTGGCATCTATGATGTCAATCTGAGTTCCTGTGGTAAGCCCACCACACGGCACTGAGTACATGCACATGGGTATGAAGTGATCATTCAACTTCCCCAGAGACCACGGACTAACCACGAATGATTTCCACCCCTGGAACCCACATCTCTCCATAGCATCGCCCCACACACACACACACACACACCTTCCTCCTATATGAAACCTGTCAGGGACATACCACTTTGAGTATGTTTGACTGTGGATCATGGATGTCTGGCCTTTCTCTGCACCTGACAACCCAAAAATCACGAAAAGAGGAAAATCGAGGGGAGACTGACTGTGACAGGCTGCAGGATGTAAGACATCATTGAAAATTCAGTAATACGCCACAACAAGACTCATCATACTTAGACTATGAGCTGTTGTCATCATGTGGGTCTAAGGGATCATTTTCATTGAAATATATGAAAGACAGACACTGCAGCTTAAACAAAGACATAAAACCAAGTTGTCCTTACGAGAATATAAATCAAATGCCAAGAACTTGACACAGTTAGACCAAAACAAGATTTACTAGTGAAAAACTAAAAACAAAACATCCACCAACTGTCTTCTTTCCAGGTGAAACATTAAACTTCCATTGTAACCTGGTACAACCTGCTTTGGCAATAGTGTGCTTAACAATGCTTACGCCACAATTGAATTTGAAAATTTCAATTTCAATTTTTTTTTGATATATTTTTGGTCTTTTATTGCCTTTAACTAATAGTGACAGCTGAAGATATACAGGAAAGGGGGGTAGAGAGAGCGGATGACGCGCAGCAAAGGGCCACAGGTTGGATTCGAACCCTGGGCCGCTGCAGCAAGGACTCTGTACATGGTCGCCAGCTCTACCAGGTGAGCTAACCAGGTACCAAAACATCCAGAGTTTCACCTTTTAGTGCCAGAGGGTTTGAGGTCAGTGTTATTTTACATGTCACGAAGACTTGTTGAGCATAGATACTTCAATACTTTCCAAATTTTCTAGATGTAAACCAATGTTGTTTTTATTGTGACATTATAAATACAGCTGTATAATCCTAAATACAACAACAAAAGACTTGAAACAAGGAAATCTTCAGCCTTGAGCCGACAGTGTCCTGAATCAGCAACTGTAGGCTGCATTAGATTTATTAGGGTTTAGGGGTTTTAATTGCGCCTGCATAAATTAGATTTAAATCTTTGGTGCATTACCACAGACTATCTCAGCTACTTTGCTTGAAACAAGGATCAGATCTGATTTCTGTTGCAGTAACACAAATCAACAAGTCACAAACTACTACTGAAATCAATAATATGTAACTTCCAACAGTTCCTTTAGCATTCCCAGAGAAAGTTGACTGCGTGTCTGCAGCAGCCTTCTCAATATAGAATTTGAGTTTGGTGACTTTACAAAAATTTTAAACATTTGTAAAATATTTCCCTAATATTCTGGACATTTTGTTGTGCATTCAAAAGGCCCAGAACTTATAATCAGATGTTTTTTTCATTGACTACAGCATCACAGACAGCCTTTTTCCACTGACCACAAACAATCAAAAACAGAAACCATACCTGACTGACTTTACTGGACACAAAACATTTGCTGCAGTGGTGCAAAAACGCACCCATTGTCTCCAGAAACATGTCAAAAGATGCAACGACTCGAGATGCAGAAAAGAAAAGACAGACTGGTACAGACCAAGTTGAAGCCACTGTTTGTCAACAACAACACAGGCCGAGGGAAGCATGTTGCTCTGCAGAATAACTGAAGCCCAGCTGTTGGCAGCAGCGTTTGTGTCAAAGGAAAGCTGTGCGGTGCGTTACCTCCTCAGCCTTCAGCCCGAGGCAGAATGTCAACGTTTTCTCTGGATCCATGGCGAGAGCTGAAGTACCAAGCTACACAGAGAAAATACAACTGCAGAAGCGGGGATGTTATTCTGCTAAGCCCCCATCACCGCTTTCCCACTCCACAGACACGGTGGCCTCCCCATCCGCCATTGCCCGGACGGACAGACAGATGCCCCTCCCAGACTCGGCTCACACACACACGCACACACACCGGGGTACCAGGGCCACACTCCCGGTGTATTTTTTTATGGATGGGGGGCTTCGGAATATCACAGTGCGGACGCTTCTGTCGTCGACTGCTGTTTGCTGTCAGTGAGATGAAGATGTTTCACTCTTTGTTTTCGCAGAGAGGGTCGGAGCTGTGTATGATGTCATGCTTTTCCAGCCCCCAAAGTACTTGTATGGGAGCGCTGCGGCTTTGATTGGCCGGAGCTCCCAGCAACAGCCGCACAGAGGCTGCCTCCACTGGGCTCCGTACACACGCTGTTGCTCTGTTCACCACAGCAAGCGTACAACCTGCAACACCTGTCTGTTTAGGTACTTATAGTAAACCAAAATCATGATATTTATTTGTTTTTTTAATATAGCATAGGCTGTAATAATTTGTATGAGACATACAGCCTATAATACTCTATAAAAATATTAAAATATGCGATATAATAATAATGTGATATAATATGATATAAATCCAGTGTTGGAAGAAGTACTTGCTTATTTATAATTAACTAGTACTTCTTTACTCAATTGTAATGATAAAACTTAAGCATAAGAAACAGTGAACAAGTAGCACAAGTAACGAAAGATGAAATAATATTTATTAAGAATGGTTTATTTACAGCTTTGAATTATTGTTGCATTATGTGTAAACCATATTTATTGTTACAAATTGTAATTTGAGCTGGGTCTGGTTTTTTATTTACAAACTGCAGCAATCATATTTTACCAGTGAAATACACCACAAAATGAAGTACAAATTCAAATAGCTACACAAAAAGTAGTAAGACTAGCTTCCTCAAAATTATATGTAGTCTAACATTAGAATAGTTAGCATAAATAACCATTAGACTAGCTGGTGCTCATCAGTTTGATTAGATACATCATGGTGAGGATACTATTGATGATAAAATTCCTCTTACCATGTTTTATTCTTATATTTCCAAAAACGTTTTTAAAAATGATAAATTAATAGAGAACAAATTTAAGAACAATTTACAGGCATACAAGCATGGGTGTCAGGACCTCCACTAGGGGTCCCCAAAGCTTTATGGGGGTTACAAGGCCTTCTTGATTTTAAGGGTTTTAAGAAAACTTTTTAAAAATATCGTACAAAGTAGGCCTAAATCTCTTGATGAGTTTTGTTCATTTCTGGGAAGAAAAATAAATTAAATTGTTTAGATTTTTATTTAAGACATAAACTTTGAAGACCTGAACACAATCTATATTCACAGAGCCTTTACTCTCTGCTAAACAGCATCGTCCTGCATGCATTACAAACATATTCAGTTCAAACTACCAAAGAGCTGATAGAACAATCAGAATAAAACACTGAATTTGAAAAATATACAATATTTGCATGTTACAGACCACTGTTCTGACCATAGGTTTTTCCTCAGGTTTTCTTATTATAATGTGAACTCCACATTAAATTATACATTAAAATCACGATGGCCAATGTTATAGAGATTTCCGTTACTGTGGAGTCAAGTCGGTCCTTGGGGCTCCTCAGGCTCTTGAGGCCCTTCAGCCTGGGAACCAGACAAATCTGCAGAGCTCATGAGTTTTATTTGCTCTGGCAAATACAGTATTTTGAACATATTGTTGACAACGTGTACCCAATAGTGCTGTACTGTACACGAAACTTGACATTTTTTCACTAGAATGTTGTGGGTCATAGCCTAGATTTTAAAACATTGGCCTACTGTTTTTGGAGACACTTTTAAACATTTCTGTAATTGTATTTACAGGGTCATTTTGAGCTGAAACAGTTCAGCATGCACTCTGTTATTGAACATAAGTTGTATGCAATTTTTAGTTTGGCTTTGTCCATTCTAAGCCTGCATGAATTATGATTCTATTTTACAAAATGTTATGTTGCTGTATTGACCAGAATCCTCATGAACTAGTTTTGAATTTCAGTAGAAATATTCCCTCCTAAATAAAACCAGTAAATCCATTAAGTACATTAAGAAATATAGGTATAATACTGTATTTCTTGTAGTGGCATGTAGAGGAAGTGGTAGACAAATGCAGCACGGTAAATCAATATTTCAGTCTTTGTCACAAGAGGGCAGCAGACTCCAGGCTTTTGCTTTTAGAGTCTTTTTTTCTGCACTTAGACTCTGAGGTAAGATGAATGACATCTAGTAGAAAAATAATGCTCCAGATCAGTGGAACTGCATTTTATATTTGAGACTTTTACTAATTTATTCATTCTCTCTCTGTGTCCTACTATGTGTGTGTGTGTGTGTGTAAGCCCCTTGATACAAATAAGGAACAAGAAAACTCTAAACTATTTCCACTGCCCCGCCTATCATATTCCCCATATTTAATACCTGTGGTTACAAACGCCTAACAGTGAAATACAAGTTTGAGCTCTTGTTCACCAGCTATTAAACCACCTGGATTAAAGGGAGCTCTAATAAACAGGGTGTGTTTAGAGGTATTGTGTTAAACCGACAATGGGTGTTAATTGGCCGGTAACCACGCCATGTTTCATACCACACCAATGAGCCACCGGCAGACAGGGATTTATAAAGAATATCTTTGATGTTTGAAATTCTGTTCATCTACAACTGTTGGTAGCTTTGCACTAAAAACATGAAGTGAAGGAATCAATAAAAAAAAATATCCCTGAGAGCCCTGACTCCACAAACTTAATAAAAAATTCCCACACCAGTGTCCACCATAATGTACCCTGATTTACTGTAATTTACCTACGCATGAAAGAGATGACGTTTGGTCAGCTGGTTCACCCACATAATGACACAATGTGACAAAACACACTTCCTCTGACCGTCTTAGCACATATACATGCATGTGCACACCCACACGTAGTCATGCACAAAAACACCATAGTAACTGTTAATAGGTGAGGAAATGTGTTTAGTTTTAGTGAAAATTAATTCACATAAATACACCACGCTGTGGTATATACTGACTATGCTTATATACCTTTAAATTAAGCAGTTTAAAAACAGTTTCATCCAGAACAGCTAGAGCTATATCAAACATTTATGTCACGCAAAGCTTGTCAACAGCTAATATGTGGAAAAGTGATAAGCTGTTGTTAGAAACGGGAACACTAGGAAGTATACGAGAAGACAAAAATCTGCAACATCATTTAGGGGAACCTCAAAATGAAACTCTTTTTAAGTCTTGTTTTTATTTCCATGGTGACGTTAAACATGTGATTCATATAGTAATTACTTCTGCTGATTACTTTATGCCTTCTATATAGCCCAAGGAATAGAGGTTACACAAATGGCAAACTCAGTACAGTAGGTGAGATGTGGCCTTGCAGCACGTCTCTGTTAATAAATGGACAGTTGCACTCTCACGAAATACATGGCTTTTTTATTCTGTCTGGGGAACCATTTAAGGTGACAGTTTAGGGGAGACTGATCAAAGTTTGTTTGGCATTGAATTCTCCTGAGCCAGCAGGCACACGTGAGGTTCAAAAGGCACAGTGTGATTTTATTTTCTGCTTTGCAGAAAGCAGACTGTGTTAACAGCTGTCATTAACAGAGCTCAGCTTATGATGGACCTTCAAAAAACTTACTGCAACCTGTAAAATGCTAATGAAGTTGCAGGATTCTAAACGTAGTTATGGTAATATGGCTCTGTTATATCAGAATTCATAATATTTTTTATTCTTTATTAATTTGTGGAAACATTTGTGTATACATGGAAGTACACAACAAATTAGTTTGTTCCCTCTTCATTCCACCTTATGATAAAAGCTCACTTACACAACCAACATACTGTAACTTGCACAGAGATGTCCACACTCATATATAAAGCTGACAGTCGTGTCACACAATGTATGCTGCATGACAGCATAGGGGATGACAAAACACAGGTTGTTTTTTTGAGAGATTAGGTGCAGCCTGGGCCCAAACTCAAGAGTTCATACTGTAGATTTTGACACAGTTGTCAAAAAGTAAGCTCTTATAAGACAGCAAGGAATGTTTCATGTAGCTACATGGTTGCTGTGTTATTTTGAAACCTACCCATCAAATGATTGTCAAAAGTCTTCACGATGATGTCACTCTGGAAAGCTAATAGGGAAAAAAGCCCAAGTCATGCAACTTTAAACTTCCTTTTTCTCTCTAAATGCCCAAACAGAAAGTCCACAAACCAACCAACCACCAAAGTTTAATAATTTGCTAATGCTGGGAAATGCAAAGTGGTCTGCTGCTGCAAAAACAACATGCATCTGCCTGCACTTACCACATTGTCAAGTCACATCCTGTGCCTCATGGACATGTGACATTTAAAAATGCCACTGTAAATGACAGCACAGTGCATGATGGGTCCCAGAAGGGGAGAGAAAAATTCCATATACTTTGCATTATTACCAGCCATTTTTCCAAAGCAATGAGGAGCACTGAGCTTTTCGCTAGTCTGCATGTTAAAATAGAGCCACTTATGTTTGCTTTTTTTCTCTGCATGTGTCTTTTATCATATGTGCATGTGAGAAACCTTAACATATGAATTCTCTGCAAGCAAGTAACCTCCTATTCTCTTTATGTTGTGTCTCCTGGGGCCCATTTGAAGGCCCTAATTTGCACTGAATTTGACTTGGTACTCTAAAGCATGCAAAGCCACAGGTTCTTTATTTACTACCTTGTCTAACCAGAGATCTCCAGATGAAAACCCAAGCTGTGCTAAAGTTCAGTACACTGAGACAGTTCGATTGTCAGTAAAAATGAAGGTTTGAAGTGATCAGGACTGTAAAAAAAAAAAAAGGTGATGTCATCTATTTCCAAGTACCAATTACAATTTACCAGTATAGGAGGCTATCTGAAATCACTCGTTCAGCTGTAAACTATATCAGTGGCCACTACCCAAAAAAAATCTGTGGTGTCACCAGATGACTGAAAAATGACTTCTTTTTTCTATCCTTTTAATTATTTTTTCTTGTGAAATACTGGGTACTTTTACTTCTTTAAGCATCTAAAATGTCTTCAAATTGAACTATTTATGATCTACTCATGTAATCTTATATTCATTGAGTATGATCTATACCTGTTTTATATGAAAAATGTGAGATAACTTCTATTACAATTTGGTGCAATGCCATTGAAACTGAATTTAACTGAATTTTAATACTCATGTCT